ACAAATTCTGACAAGAAATATGCATAGCAGTAAACTCAGACCTGAGAATGGTTTGTATGTGAAAAAGGAGACTGTCCCACCGCTACCAGCAGGCACTTTCTCATAGGAGTGCTGATTGTTACTGTGTTTTGTACTGAATTTAACGCTCTATGTATGCGGTGGCTGTGCTAGAGCAAATTTATCCTTTCATGCTCCAAGGGACATAGGTGCTACTGGATCCAAATGTCATGAAAGTAGGAGCTAATTGCTTAAGTGCTCAGGCAAGGATGGTTCTGAGCACATGCATAACCAGAAACTGGCAATACTTAAGTGAACTTTCAGGGCAGAAAGGGCGGTACCGGAAAAATTCAGGTATCTGTGATTTTATACATCTGTTGAAAAAACATTGTTTTCAGTCATAGTTTTGAATCTGGATGCCTAAAACCCACCTAATTCCTATACTCTTCTGGATTTCTGCTTTGAAACCGGAAGCAACCAGTTTCCCAATTTTGTCCTTTTTTGTGTGTGTATGAATAAGCTACTTAACTTCTCTACACTTTTTTAAAGTTTTAAAAGATGGGTAATACTCAACTTCCTACTCCATGCAACACTGAAGATTAGTTAATTGATAGTGAAGGAAAAGTGGGGATACGGGACTCCATCTAGCTCAGTACTTGCTATTCTGTTGCAAATTAAATTTTGTGGAAAAGGGTTGCAAAAGAAAAAGCTCACTGGTTTCCTTTCCCTGGAGGATCCTCAGACTTACACAGTTCAAAGAAGCCAGTATCTCAGAAGCTTCTCCTTTCATCACAAACCATATCAGCACTTACTGTCCTCTAGTGTGCTCTGCTAGTGCCAAAGCTTAGACTCCTTTGACAAGATAAATAATAATGTAGGCTTTGTACTGGGCTAGGTGAGAGCGTGACATTTTCAAGAGGATGGAGATACCCTAGCAGAAGTCAGACTGGAAGGATAACCTATTAGATACTAGATTTTTAATTGACTATGACACAAAAATTACTCTTTCGCAATGAAACCATAGAAGCCTATAATATCAAGATTCTTTTTATGTCTTAAATTTAAAACAAACAGTAACCATACCCTAAACCAAGCAATGATTCCCTTACTGTTTGTGAATATACCACAGCATTCCTTTTGCATTACATATGGAAAATGAGTTATATAGATGTCTCACTGGTATAAGCAGAGGTGAATCAAGTATGTTTGTGTGCATTGTATGCAATGTTTGTGCGACTGTTGCATATATAAAAGCCTCATTAAGTCTCCCCAGTGATTGGAGGTGGGTTTTGTTTAGAATGGTTTTGTTTGTTTTTGTAACAAAGATAGCAAACACAGGAAATAATTAAATAACTGTGTTTTCATACTCTCCCGCTCATCAGGAGCCTATATAAGATTTTAATTAGTGCTGCATTTTCAATAAGTCTGTATCCGTACGTGTTGCAGATTCTTTAGTGGATAACAGGGAGATAATTGAGAATCCTGTTTTTCAGTCTCTCACGAAAGGGCTGGGTGATACATTTAATCATGATGTAGAAATGCTGGCAGGTTTCTCTGAGTTCAGCCTCTCTCTAATTACATTTCTAGATTTTTAGTAAATTGAAAGGGAAAATGTAGGAACAAAATAATTAAAACCAAAGAGGAAGCGAATATTAAGAAGCAGGAGCTATTTAAAATTCTTGCACACAACTCTTTCATGGACATTAGTTTAATCAGCTTCACATAAAAATCAAACTTACTTATACACAAAAGTAACACCTCCAAACCTCTATGTACAGTCGCATTTACTGGTTCTTTTCATGCAGAAAAAAACACCTGTCTTGTATCATTCAGATGATACTGAGATTTATACCCAAAGTAAATGCATTTGATAATTTGGTACTCTCACATGCACACTAGTGTCAAAACACACACACACCCCAGCATATCCCCAGGCAAATTTTCAAGGTCCAAGCAGTACCTGCACCTAGGAATCGTCCAGTCATTTTATTACAGAATTGTGTTAAAGACAGAAGGTAGGGTTTGTGAAGACTAAGTTACAGTATTTCACTTCTATCTGCCACCAAGGAGTACAGAATTGACCCAAAATAACTTTTTCATATGGAGGAGAGGTGAAATTTGATCTTCATTTTCACAGATACCCAATTTAATTTTCCACTTCCTGGGAACAAGAGAATTTTGATCAGGAGAACATCATAAACTGCAAAAGAGGTTGATCTCCCTACCACTAAGTGACACATGGCCAGTGTTGCATTAAAGGAGACGTTTTTGTTTCTTCTATCTAGAAACCCCTTGTATCAAGACTCCGCAGCTTAAGTGCTCTAATGCAGGAGGGGAGGGGGGAATCTCTTTGTTTTCTCTAAAACTGGTGCTGTAATTTCCTTTTGTACTTCAAGAGAATAAATATGTCAGTAAAAATCCACAGTTTATATTGTGAATATAAAATCCAGGATAACAGAGCGGGTATGAAAATAAGTTTCTAGGAGAAATGTGTAGCCACAATAGGAATGCTAATACCAATTCTGTACTTTCCAAGAGGCAGTTTTGTGGCATTTCTTCCTTACAATGCAGCATTACCTGCTGTTTTGTCACCACAGGCAGCAGTTTTTGAAATGAAAGAATGAAGCAGGGTCCAAGAATTGGTCATGGCTTGGATGAGATACTTGCCAAGAAAACCCAGGACACTGCAGAAAATGTTAGCAATAAAACAGGCAATATTCTCTGAGGTAGTAGTGGACAAATGTGGCAGCCTAGTGTACAGGACCAATTGCGCTATGAGAAGCAGCATTTTTCATCTGAGAGAATGAGATATGAGATAAAAAGACTTTGGATCTTTCGTTTAAATAAGTGTAGCTGTGACGTATTATGTAACCGGGCTAATTTGGTTATTGGGGTGCTTTGCGTGTAATTGTATTAATTCATTGTAACATAAGACAAACTGGCAGGAAAGGAAGGTTAGCTCTGGATAAACTTCTCTACAAACATATACGTAATTAAGGACTACTAACAATGAAAATTTTGCTTCCTCTGGTTGCAAACCATTACAAATTAGAAGAGGGAAGACCCATATATAAAAGAGATCTTAGGATCACAGGATAATTTGAGTGGAGGGGACTTCAGGACATCATCTGGTCCAACCTGCTCAAAGCAGGGTCACTTATGAGATCTGACAAGGTTGCTCTGGCCTTTATTTAATTAGGCCTTGAAAACCTCCAACAGAGACTGCAGAGTCTCTCTGGGCAACCTGTTCAAATGCTCATCTATGGTCATGATGAAAAAATTTCTTACATCCAGTCTAAATCTCTCTCGTTTTTACCTTTGTTTCTCATCCTCCTGCTGTGTAGCACTATGAAGTGCCTGGCTCCATTTGCTTGATAACCCCCTTGTAGGTACTGGAAGGTCTGTAAGATCTCCCTTAAGCTCTTGATCTAGACCCCTGAATGACAGACATAAAGCATGTTTGCTTTATAATCCTTTTCTCAAAAGGTTAAAATAAATGCTGTGCCTTGAAAAAAACCCTCACCAATCATCCTCAAACTTGGCAAGAAATTCTCATTGTGCACAGCGTGGGGAGCCATTCTTCACAAGCACTGGTGATCCATGCACTGAGATGGCCCACGACCCAGCCTGAAGTGAGAAAAGGGAGAACTGTTTGTATTTTCACTACGCAACACTAAGCCCAACCCTCAAAGGAATGGGGAGGAATGGTGAAACGAGGCCACACCACAACAGCAAGAGAAATGTACGCCCTCCCATCTCCCCTAACACTTCCTCCTTGGGTGAAGAGATTTAAAATAAAACCCTACGCCAGCTCCAAGCAGAGCCCTCAACCCTCACACAACACCAGGAGAAGAGGTCTCCAAGGCAGAAGGGGGAAGAGCGGCGCGCCGTTACCTCAGGCAGCCAATTCCTCACAGAGCTGTGAGGAAAGGGGAGGGCGGCGCGCGCCACCTCGCTCGACGCCTTTCCCGCCTTTTCCCCCGCCTCCCTCGCGCGCCGCCCCTCCCCCCGCCCGCGCA